ATAATGGCAAAGGATGCGTTTTCAGAGGTGGGGTTGCTTTTCATAGGATCATAGAATGGTTTGGGTTGGAAGGGACCTTAAAGCTCATCCAGTTCCAACCCCCCTGCCAGCAGCAGGGACACCTTCCACTAGACCAGGTTGCTCAAAGCCTCATCCAGCCTGACCTTCAACACTTCCAGGGAGGGAGCATCCACAACTTCCTTGGGCAACCTATTTATTTATTATTTATTTAGCAAGAGGAGTTTTGTCATAGGCATAATCCAATATCCCTTCCAACACAACAGCAAGAACCTGTAAGCACTTACCTTACAGGGAACCGTGCAGCAAGTCACTGATGATATCACTCCTCAACGCTCTCTCGAGACCAAATAGGGTTATTTCTAATTAAAGTTGTTGCTTAATCTTGTTAAATTCTTTTGTTTCTCTGCCATTTCTTTGTAAAATCTTTGCAACTACAATCTTCTTACTGTTAAACCTACATAAATCTGAAATTGAAAATTTGATTTATATCCTGATGAATCATTCAATTTTGGGCTTCTAATTTCAAACAAATAATAAACATCAATGCAGATACCTGTTATAAGTCACAGTTTCCACTGCTCTTCAGTTATAAATATCACAATCTTATTTTGTTTTTCATTCCTTGTGCATGAGTATTGTGAGATAAACACATTATAAGCATTAGAAAGGTTATACATTCTGTAATCCTCTTGCACTGCCAGTCTGGTTTTGCACCGTGCAGGTTATTGTTCTGTTTCAGATGAGTTTGTCATACTCATCATCATCATGGATATTTTCTCAAATCATCAAGGGGATAAAAAAAAAAAGGAATTGTCTTGAATAATAGCACGCGGTTAATTGCAGTGAGCAGGCATCTGCATTATTTGAAGGAAGCTAGAAAGTGAAATTAATTTGGCAATAAACTCTTTCTAAAATGAACACAAGCTCACTGCTCCGCTTTTACATTGTGCTGACCCTCAGTTTTGAGAGCAGGACCTGTCACAGAATCACAGAATGTTGGGGATTGGAAGGGACCTCAAAAGATCATCCAGTCCAACCCCCCTGCCAGAGCAGGAACCTAAATGAGATCACACAGGAAGGCGTCCAGGCGGGTCTTGAATGTCTCCAGAGAAGGAGACTCCACACCCTCCCTGGGCAGCCTGTCCCAGGGCTCTGTCACCCTCACTGTAAAGGAGTTTCTTCTCAAGTTGAAGCAGAACCTCCTGTGTTCCAGCTCACACCCATTGCCCCTTGTCCTACCATTGGGCATCACTGAGAAGAGCCTGGCTCCATCCTCCTGACATTCGCCCTTTACATATTTATAAACATTAATGAGGTCTCCCCTCAGTCTCCTCTTCTCCAAGCTAAAGAGCCCCAGCTCCCTCAGCCTTTCCTCAGCAGGGAGATGCTCCACTCCCTTCATCATCTTGGTGGCTCTGTGCTGGACTCTCTCCAGCAGTTCCCTGTCCTTCCTGAACTGTGGGGCCCAGAACTGGACACAATATTCCAGATGTGGCCTCACCAGGGCCTCACCTGTGTCCCATTCAAACTATTTGTTTCCTGGAAAAGAGAATGAGGGAAAACCAGAGCAAAATAAAGGAATCCCAGTCAATATCCTGAAGCTTATTTAAAGTTCGGGGGGGGGGGCTTGGGGGATTTGTTTGGTTGTTTTTTTTTCTGTTAAGTGGATAAACTTTATGTCAAAAAGTACCTTTCCCAAACTTAGTTGGCAAATGAAGAGAAAGTGTTCCTGTCGGTCTTTTAAATTCACACCCTTGTGAAAGGATCAGGCTCATTTATTTGCTTTTCTTCTGGTGTCATTCCTAGAAGAATCTTTTCTTACTTGGGCATCCAGTGGGTTTCCAGGGACAAGATCAGGATTCAAAACCAATAGAATTCTGTAAGAATAAGTGAAGCTCAACCCTCCGCCCTGGCCAGCAAACTGCAGCGGGAAGAGGTTGCACTTCCCTGGGGGAAAGAAAACCCCAGCTTTGGTAGGCTGGTCACAAGAGCACTCTCCAACATTAATTTTTAAAAGAATGGTTCACAGAAAATAGGACTAGAGTTAGTGTCTGTATGCCTGAGACTTCCAAAGGTGGAGATGTAGTCCAGAATACATAAACACACTCAAGGTGTGCTGAATACAGCAGACTTCATTCGACATAGACGCTTTCTCCTCCTCCTCCCTTGCACTCTAGGGAAGGAATTAGTGACTGGATGTACTACACCCAGCCCCATCAGAATATGGGCTCTTGGAATCGCTGCAATATGAATAATAAGTTGTAAGAAGTGCCTGGGAACATCTGTCCATTTTCATCCTGTGATTCCCACGCCACTACAGAACTTTTGTGGATGCCTGTGTCACCTGATGGTAAAGAGTCACCGGTGGCTTGGGATGGATTTGAGAACACAGACTATAATAAGACAGTATGTCACACTGATCTAGCTATGTACACACACGACTCTACTTGCTTGGCCTTTGAGGACTAGGTGTGGTTGAAAGTTCCTCCAGAGGATGGAAGGAGTGGAGAAAGAAAACTGGGAGAAGCCTGTATTTATCTGAAAGCCGCTAGCGTCCTTGTTTAGAGCTAATATTTTAGTAGAAGACTGAAAGTAAAATAATCCTGTGTGTTTAATTATTTGCTTCAAAATTAATGGGGGAAAAAAAAAACCCCAAAACATTTTCTCAACCTTAGGGCAGATACTCAGCGGGTATTAATTGCTTTGGCCTCCCTGATAGCAGTGAAGCAATGTCAATGTCAATTAGCTATAAATGTGCTACCCTGGTTCAGTTTGAGTTCATCCTGTAGTTATGAGAGAGATTATGAAGTTGTCAGTTGATTTGAACACGCATTACCAATCATACAAACACAACAGATTTAGAGGTAGCAGTTCTTTGTCACCTTGGTGAGCTTTTGAAAAAAAAAAAAAAACAAAACAAAAAAACCAACAAAAACCAAACCAAACCAAAACTTTTCAATTTTTCTGTAATATTGCAGATCTAGGTGCCATATAAGACAAAGAAATAGGCAATATTAAAGGTTTAGGTTTGTCCACTGTTTGGGGTGCATCTGTGGCATCAAGCATTTGCCGTGTCTTCTACACAAAGTATAGGGGAAATAGATGTCTCACCTTTTGTGTCAATAATATTCACTAAATATTCACTAAATATTCACTTTTGCCTTTTCTTGCTAAAATCCTTAGCTGAGAGCCTGCCATTATTCTGAAAGGAATCAAAAATTGGTGTGACAGAGAGAATACTTTGTACAGGGAATCAAATACAGCTAGCAGAAAAATTAGTGAGGGGAAAATATTTACAGCAGGGAAAAAAAAAAGGTTCTTTTTTTTTTAGTATAACCCTTTTTATTTTAAAGGAACTGCAAATACAGCTAGCAGAAAAATTAGTGAGGGGGAAATATTTACAGCAGGGGAAAAAAAAAGTTCTATTTTTTAGTAGTAACCCTTTTTATTTTAAAGGAACTATGCTGATTTATGGTTGTTTGCGGTGGGAATCCACTCTGAGACGACCTTTTGGGGAAGTGTGCTTCATGAGGACTCCCAGAGTCCTGGCCCTTGATCATCCTCATCATGAGTCTATTGGAGTGCACCACTCAACACTTTCCCTTGTGTCTTTGGGTTTCCTTTGGAAGAAAACTAAGATTCATGATGGCTGGTACATGGCTCCATTGCTTCTCAGCATGGACTTAGGCTGCAGCCAAAGCATGTGCAGCAGCAAGGTTAGCAGGGTCACCAGGAAGAGCCTTTGCTCCCCAGCACAGACTGCATTGTTGCAATAAACTTGAGTGTTTAGCCATACTATGACTCAAAACATGTAGAACAGAGGAGAAATCAATGGTTTCCACTAGTGTGAAATGGTAAAGAATTAAAGGGAGTGAAGCTTGCTCAGTCCAAATCCACCTCTTTCCATGTTATTTCGCATTAAGGTGGTGAATTGAGTTTTGTAGAAGAGCACATTAGCTGTAGGACATGATGGTATCAATACATCATGTTGGGCCCCAGCACCCAGGAACATGCAGCATCCACTTTGCTACGGTAATTAATGTGCGAGTTTTCATCTCAGGAAAATTGTGGATTAAGACCAGCTTCACAGAATCACGGAATCACAGAATCACAGAATCACAGAATCACAGAATCACAGAATGTTGGGGATTGGAAGAGACCACATTGAAAGATCATCCAGTCCAACCCCCCTGCCAGAGCAGGAACCTCAATGAGATCACACAGGAAGGCGTCCAGGCGGGTTTTGAATGTCTCCAGAGAAGGAGACTCCACACCCTCCCTGGGCAGCCTGTCCCAGTGTTCCAGCTTCAGTCCTCAAAATATCAGGGAACTTTATATACTCTTTCTTTATCTCTTTATCTCCCAAATTTCTTTATTTCCAATCATGCATTATCCATCAGGCCTTTGGGGAAGAAGCAAAAAGGCACAGAATTCTGTGGGTGTGACACAAAGGAGGCTTATTTCATTTTCACCTGGCATCTCAAGTACTGTGTATCCTCTTCCAGGTTGGATGAAGCTTTGAGCAACCTGATGTAGTGGAAGGTGTCCCTGCTGATGGGAGGGGGGTTGGAACTGGATGAGCTTTAAGGTCCCTTCCAACCCAAACCATTCTATGATTTCTAGTGTCAGAAGCAGAACACAATGGCAGCAAGCACAGCTGAGCATAGTCCATAGAAGAAGACAATGTTTCTGGAGGTGTGACCCAATGTCTGGTTTATTACTTATGCATTTCATATAAATTATTTCTTTATTTTGATGCAGCACCCACTGAATGGCACCTGAGACTGCAATAAGAATTAATAGGCAATAAAGGCTTCAGTCACAGAACGGAGTGCAGACCTAGAGGGGTGCTGAATTCAAGGTTTGAGCAGGTGAATGGACTGTGAGCAGTGCCCAGAACAGCAGGTGTAAATCAAAAGGAGAGGCCTGCAGTAGAAAACCTCTCTCCACAGCTAGAGACAGCAGCAGGAGTAGCCTGAATGACCGAGCAGCTTGGCTCTGAGAAGGACATAAGGGAGAGCAACGCCATGGGGACCTGGACGCTAAATGCCCCCCACAGTAAGTACCCTAGAGAGAATCATAGAATCTTTTGGTTGGAAAAGACCTTTGAGATCATCAAGTCCAACTGTACCTGTCCACTGCTAAACCAGATCTCTGAGCACCTCATCTACACATCTTTTAAACACAGATAAATATAAATAATATAGATATAAGTAATATAAATTGATAGGAATAGGAATAGGAATAGGAATAGGAATAGGAATAGGAATAGGAATAGGAATAGGAATAGGAATAGGAATAGGAATAGGAATAGGAATAGGAATAGGAATAGGAATAGGAATAGGAATAGGAATAGGAATAGGAATAGGAATAGGAATAGGAATAGGAATAAATATGTATTTTAAAATTAAAAAATACACAGATTAAAATAATTGTCAGGATTAACAGGGAAGAATGAAACACCTAGGAAATGCAGTTTTATCTTGTTTTTTTCCTGCTTAGGTTAGATGAATATAAATAATATAGGTATAAGCAATGTAAATGAATAGGAAGAGGAAGGAATAGGAATAGGAACAGGAATAGGAAATGAAATTGGAATTGGAATTGGCATTGGCCACCTAGGAAATGCAGTTTTATCTTGTTTTTTCCCTGCTTACATTAGGTAAATATAAATAATATAGATATAAGTAATATAAATTAATAGGAATAGGAATAGGAACAGGAATAGGAAATGAAATTGGAATTGGAATTGGCATTGGCATTGGAATTGGAATTGGCATTGGCATTGGAATTGGAATTGGCATTGGCATTGGAATTGGAATTGGCATTGGCATTGGAATTGGAATTGGCATTGGCATTGGAATTGGAATTGGCATTGGCATTGGAATTGGAATTGGCATTGGCATTGGAATTGGAATTGGCATTGGCATTGGAATTGGAATTGGCATTGGCATTGGAATTGGAATTGGCATTGGCATTGGAATTGGAATTGGCATTGGCATTGGAATTGGAATTGGCATTGGCATTGGAATTGGAATTGGCATTGGCATTGGAATTGGAATTGGAATAAATATGTATTTTAAAATTAAAAAATACACAGGCATATATACATATATATGTGTAAGTATGTGTGTGTATTTTTAAATTCACTTTGACTTCATCTCTTTATCAAAACAACATGTGGAAAATTTTTTTTTCCGGAAAAGGTGCTTCAGTCGATAACCTTTATACAACCTGTGAAAAATTACTGTGGCAGAGAGCAGCGAAATGGGGGCCACGCTATGGATGGGCATGTGCTTTACTTCCTAACCCACCACGCCAGCTCCTCCCCAAGCCTACGAGATCTAGTGATGAGGATCAGCTGCAGTGGCCCTGATGGCTCTCGGCACCTCTTTGCCTTCAGCCCTTGGTGTCCTGCCCATCCACCCTCCCTCCCTCCCTTCCCCACCACGCCATCCCCTATTTTTGGGTGGCAGGAGGTTGTGTTTCACCCACGGCTCACGCTACCTCGCCACTGCTGGGGAGAACAAATGGCATCCCAGCCTGTAAAACTGTACTTCCTAGCAACACGTTTGAAACTCCAGCTGCCTGATATGGCTAATGAATTTTACAATCAAAAGCTAAAGTGAATTAGCTGTAGCAGATGTTTTTACTCTGGGAACTACCAGACCTTTCTGGCCGCTCATTTATCCTTCAAGAGGATAAAACTCTGAGCTTCTATTATGTGTTGTCATTGGAGCATTGCACAACTTTATCAAACTTTTTATTCTGGAAACTGAATTAATTTTCTGCAAGGGTTTTTTTTTTGTGTGGCTCTTTAATCACATTTACTGGGGAACATGTGTACTGTAAAGTTGGAGAGCCGATTATGGCTTCTAGAAAGACCACTTTCAAAAGGAAGCTGCCCCCCGCTCCCGAGGCCTCCATTTGAAGGTCCTCGGGTTTTGTGAAGAGGAAAAAATTAATTACTATTTTAATAACGAAGCCAAGCCTGCTGAAAATCCTCTTAGAGAGGAGCTGGATGATGTAATGGCTAGCAGGAGGGATATTGAAAACGGTGACCACACAGCCTGCCCTTCACTCTCCCATTCACTCCCAGTAAGACGATACGGGCTGCTGGGTCAGGCTGGAGGGAATGACAAGCCCTGCTGGCTGGGGGAGCAGGAGACACAGCCACTGTGGGTCATCTGAACAACCAACATCTGCCACCACCTGCCCTGCAAGGTAACCCTGGGACCGTGCTTGTCTCCCCAACCCTGCCCTGCCATACAGACCCTGAGTGGGGAGCCAGGGGACAGTCACTGGCCTTAGGGAGCCCACCGGCCAAAGGCTGTGTGAACACAAGGACATGGAGCCAGTCCAGAGGAGACCACGAGGATGATGCGAGGGCTGGAGCAGCTCTGCTGTGAGGACAGGCTGAAAGAGTTGGGGCTGTTCAGCCTGGAGAAGAGAAGGCTCCAGGGAGACCTTCTAGTGGCCTCCCAGTACCTGAAGGGGCTCCAGGAAGGCTGGGGAGGGACTTTGGCCAAGGGCAGGGAGTGACAGAACAAGGGATGATGGCTTCAAACTGGAAGAGGGGAGACGGAGATGAGATGTGAGGAAGAAATTCTTTGGTGTGAGGGTGGTCAGACAGAGTCCCAGGTTGCCCAGAGAAGCTGTGGCTGGTCCTCCCCGGGAGGGTATGCCCAAGTATGTAAGTCAGAAATGTAGTAGTAGATACTTGGCTTTGAGCAACCTGGTCTAGGGGAAGGTGCCCCTGCTGATGGCAGGGGGGTTGGGACTGGATGAGCTTTAAGGACCTTTCCAACCCAAACCAGTCTGTGATTCTATGAAACTGGCTCTCAGAGGTTGTGTAAACCCTGTCACGTAAAGGAGCAAGAATCCTGATTGTTGTCTTACTGGAATTAAGTCATTTGTAGGCACACGGGTCCCTGCTCCATTGCCTGGCTATCCCTGGGGGTCACTGGCAAACGGTGGAGTCTGTACAGCGGGGCAGAGTCAGGGGACATTGGGGTGTTTTCACATTCAGGTCACTTGACTTGTGACCCATGGATTGCTGCAGAGATCTCTGTCACCCTCGAGCCCCCTCACGTGCAACGCTGAGCACCATCAGGAGAGTGGCAAAGGGGTCTGGTGTACCCAGCTTCCTTAAAATGGGAACTCCACACTGAATGTGGGATCACACCATGGAAAAATCAAACACGATCTCCCAGCCCAGAGGGACAGAGACCAGCAGGGATGCTGGAGGAACGGACAGGGACCAGCAGGGATGCTGGAGGAACAGACAGTTCAGCTGAGGGAGGGCTCCTCATGGGATTTTGTGGTGGTTTCACTGGGCTGGCAGCCAAACACAGCCACTCCCTCACTCTCCTCACCCAGGAAATAGGGGAGAAAATTGTAGGGATAAGGGTAAGGAGACTTATAGGTTGAGGTGAGAACAGTTTCATAATAGAAATAAAATAAAACTTTAAATAATAATGCTATTAAAATAAAAATAAAAATTATAGTAATCATAATAATATATGCAAACGAGTGACCCCCAGTGCCATTGCTCACTACCCACCGACCGAGCCCGGCCCGTTCCCAGATAACGATCCCGGAGGAGCGACAATCCCGAACCAAAACCGCAACCCCAGGAGAGCCAGAGCCCGAGTGAAAGCCAGAGAGAGCAAGAGAGGAAGAGCCCCTCATGGATCTCCTGCCCATGGGGGACAGGAGATGGAACAGCCCATTGCCAGAGCCAAATGCCAATCGAGCTTCTTCATCTAAATAGTCCTTCCCCTTCAGCTTTGCACCTGCTGACCAGCAAAACACAAAGTCCTTCGACTTCCAGCGACAACTGCAAACATCGGTGTGTTATCAACGTTCTTCTCCTAACCAATCCCAGCTGAACCCAAACCCCAGCGCTGTTCCAGCTGCTGAAAACAAACCCAGCTCTGTCCCAACTCAAAACCAGGATGGATTTTAAAATCTCAGAGAGCAAAAGCAAGGACCCAAAGCAATGGAAGCCCTAAACATCACTGTCTCTTGGCTATCACTCAGCTTCGTGCAGGTTTGCAGGCCTGATGCTATTCATACTAAACCTTTCTTTTTACTAACTTCAATAAAAATGAGACAAAAAAAAAGGCACAGGGGAAATAACTGATGGGTAATGGATTGGATTAGAAAAACGGTTAAGAAATAAGTAATATCTTTAAGATAATTAGAAAGTATTCTTTTTTTTTTTTCAACTTATAAATTTCCCTTCACCCCCAAATTACCTTTGATATCAGAAAAGATTAAAACATTATAAAGCGCTGATGTGAATCTTTCAGTTAGGATTATAAATTCTGTGACAGAGCAATTCCTTTGATATCAATATGGGGTTTTTTTATGAATTGCGAAGAAAAGCAGGTGTATAAAAATAAAATCCACATAAAATATAAATTATCATTGTGCAAGTTAATGTTAGCCGTAGGCTACAATAACTTGCATATTTTCTGTTTCTAAAAATCTTTCCAGGCTTTTTTAAAAGCAGCATCATTTCTTGCTAATATATAAAAGCTATGCTCTTGTGGGAAGCCAAACAGGTTTTGGTTGTGGAAGAAACTTGGAAACTTCTGCAACAATTTCAGTTCTGATTCTCCTCCTTCACTTTTCATGCCTGTAGCAGTTTAACTTGGCTGGCAGCCAAACACCACACAGCCCCTCGCACACACACCCCACCCAGGGAATGGGGGAGAGAATTGGAGAGGTAAAGGTAAGGAGACTCCTAGGTTGAGATAAGAACAATTTAATAATTGGAGTAAAATAAATTTTAAATAGTAATAATGGTAATGATAATGATAATGGTGATGATGATGATGATGATGATGATAATATATATAATAATATGTATAATAATATGTATAATATGTATAAATGAGAGATGCACAGTACAGTTGCTCACCACCCATCAACAGGGATCCCAGAGGAGTGAAAAGGAACCCTGAACCCAAAACCACAATCCCAGAAGAGTGAGCTTGAGCAATCTCTGAGATAATTCTTCAGCGAATACCCCCGATTCCTGGTCAGCCCTGGTTAATGTACTGAACATGACGCGGTATGATCTGGAATATCTCATTGGCACATCCAAGTGCCAGTTATGGGGTTTGTTCATGACTACGCTGCTCCACTCCCAGTCCTTTGCACTTGCAAACTAGCAAAACACAATGACCTTGGACTTCCAGCAGCAACTAAAAACATTTGTACGTTTACCAACGTTCTCCTCATGACAAATCCCCCACTGAAACCAGAACACAGCTATTCCAGCTACTGAGAAGAAAATTAACTCTATCCTAGCAAAAACCAGGACAAAGCCTCTTGGGGTGAAACACAACAATATGTGAATGGCAGAACACCACCTACGACTTCAAAAGATCAGGAGCTTGTGTGCCACCCCACCCTTTGCAGAGGACTGCGTTTAATGCTGTGTGTAATTCTGGTTGTAGTTATGGTTACAGTGAAAAAAGAGGCCTAAGAGCAAGTTATTCAAAGAGGCCACCAACTGAACTGCAAAAAAATTGCCAGCTGGCACAACCTTGTTTTCATTCATCTCCAAAGCCACTGTCAACCCACCGGAGCCAGACTTCCCAGGTAGAGGAGACAAGGACAAAAGGAAGAGTGGTGGGGAGGGGGCTGCCCATATATCTCCAAGAGGATATCCCAAAGGTGCATGTGACACCTGTGTCAGATGCTATTCTGCCATCCTCTCATCCCACAGATCCTTTTGTTCACCCGTGTGGCAGCAGCTTTTGGGGTGTGGAGGTACTACCTAGCACCCCAGGAGTCTTGCCTGGGCTGCCATCCTGTTTGCTCCAAGCTCAGACAACCTCACTGCCCAGGCAGTGTCCAGCTGAGTCTTCACTTTTCCCCTTGGGGTTTTCAGAGGCAGCAGTGTGTTCACCTCAGCTCTTAGGAGAGGTTCCCTCTCCTCCTTCCACAAGCAGGAGGCATCACATTTTTTGTTCACCTCCATCAATTGTTTTTCTTTTCTCTGATTTACTCACAGAATCACAGTGGTTGGAAAAGCCCTTTAAGATCATCAAGTCGAACC